TTTTTTTTTTTTTTTTTTTTTTTTTTTTTTTTTTTTTTTTTTTTTTTTGAGATAGAGTCTCACTATGCAGCCCAAGCTAGACTCAACCTCCCAAGTGCTGGGATTACAGGTGTGCACCACCACACCCAGCACCCTGGTTTTTTTTCTACCCTCTCCTCCCACAAGCCTCTCCATGGTCTGGGCCCCGGATGGACCATGCGCCCCTCACCTCCCTGGCCTCCACACCCATGCCTGTTTCCCCACTCCAAGACCACCCCCCAACACCTGGCACCACTCTTATTCTCAGAGTCGCCCTGACCCCAGCCCTCACAGAGGCCTCCTCACACCTCCAGGCTATGTATGCTCCTCCAAGGCCACAGAACACAGCTGCACTTCTCTCTACCACTGAACGGATGAGAAAACGTGGCCACTACCCACTTCTCCATCTTTCCTGGGACTGAGAGCCACTGGGCAGTTCAAACACAGTAGTCACACCCAGGAGGCACCTGCGGGACCCTTGGCCAACTGGCTGGACTGAGGTATTCCACAAGGGCACCCCAATTCCTGGGAGTCGGCCTCTTCCTCAGGGCCTGTCTGCACTCTACACAGAAGTCTCAGGCAGGCCCTGTGGTCGCACTTCCACCACCCATCCGTGCTGGGCAGAACAAGAACAGCCCCTCCCAATCTCAGCTGCACACAAGGCCTCTCTGCCCACAGCCCGAGGGACACCTGGGAGGGATACAGATGGGCTCCCTGCACCCTGAAGTCACATTTGAGCCCCAGGCACAGACATGTAAAATACCTAGGAGAAAATAAACAGGACTGAACCCAAACTGCCGGCCAGTCCTTCCAACGCAGGTGTTGTGGCAGGGCACATCGGTCCCCAGGCACATCTCATGGGACACAGCCGACAGCACCGCACTGAGTCCCAAAACCCTCTCCCTCGCACTGACGGTGATCAGAAAGCCAGTCACCTTCTCAACCCTAACAAAGGTCACACTTGCACAGGTGCAAAGGGTAGAGATCCAGCTTTGCCACGTAAGTGAGCTCAAGGTAGTTAAATTGGCCACAAACTCTTAAGCTGTTTTCCCCAAGCAGAAACAACACAAATGTCCTTCAACTAATGCTTGGCAAAGAAACTCAGCCATCCAGACAGTGGAGAACGACTCAGCAACCAACAGCAATGAGCCTGGGTGAATGAACAACTGGGTGAATCTCAAGCACTGTATCCAGTCTAAAGCCACACCCCTCCATACACACAAAGGCTTCCATTTATATGATGCTCTTTTCCATATCTGCATTGTGTGGTGGTGGCAATAACTCTACACGCTGGTCAACCCAGGTGCACGCCTGTAATCCCAGCATTCAGGAGGCTGAGGCAGGAGGATCGCTGCAAGTTCGAGACCAGCCTGGGCTACATAGTGAGTTCCAGATCAGTCTCAACTACATAGTGAGACCCTGTCTCAAAAAAACAAAACAAAACATACATGCTGGTCAAGCCACAGAACTGTAGGCTAACCAGGAGTTTTCTGGAGTCCAACTACACCTCACAACCTCACTATAAAAAAAACTACTGACAGGGCTGGAGATTTGATTCAGTGGTGCTGCCGGCTGCCTTGCAAGCACAAGGACCTGAGTTCAATCCCCAGTACCAAAAACAAGACAAAACAAAAAAAAAGTACTGACAGGCATGGTGGCACATGACTATAATCCTTGCACACGGGAGGCTGAGGCAGGAGAAACACTGGAAGTTCGAGGCCAGCCTCGGCTGCAAAAGGAGTTCAAGGTCAGCCTGAAGCAATAACAAGATCCCATCTCAAAAAAGAAAAATGAAAGAACAAACCTACATGTAATTGAAGTACTGAAGGTAAAGGACCAAGGTGTACAAACCTTACTCTGAAATGCTGGAAAAAACAGTGTACATGTGCACACACACCCCTACACTAAAGCCCACGCCTAATTGCTGGAAAAAACAGTGTACATGTGCACACACACCCCTACACTAAAGCCAGCACGCCTAATAAAAGGAATGGGACAAAGTACCACTGGCAGCTGAATCTGGGTGGAGGAACTTCTTGTTATTCTTGCTACTCACTCTCAACCCCACACAGGCAAATTTCCAAACACAGGCTGGATGACAGGAAACTCACATTTCTAGACAGACGGAAATGTCACCAAGTGCAAAGATGAAATTGAAAGAGGGAGGGTAAAAAAGCAGAGACACAAAGCCGGGCGTGCATACACACATCTGTAATCCCAGCACTCTGGGTGGCTGGGGCAGGAGGACTGCAAGTTTTCCCAGCATGGAAAACTAAAAACAGAAAAACAAAGGCTAAAGGATGTGGCTCATTGTGAAAGCTTGGGGTTCAATCCATAATACTGGCCCCCCGCAAAAAGGGCAGACAATATAGCAAAGGGTGGATGGGGCCTCATCCTGAGTGGCACTACAGCTCGGACCGCCAACAGGCTGCCAGGGGAGCGCCCCAGGCTTTCCTGAAGGTTCACTGAGGCCCTTCCAAGAGGGGTGGTGCACATTTTACTTTCTGACCACCCCAATCCCAGCATGCTTTTTCATAGTTTGCCAGTCTTGAAACCCACACACTTTATTTATTGATGGTACCAGGGACCAAACTCAGACTCTTGCACTTGTGAGGCAGGCGGCAGAACCACTGAGCTAAGACCCCAGCCCAAAACACCCACACTTCAGATAAGGGACAACAGTGACTCCTTAAGAGGAACTGAAACATGCCACTTTGTTTATATGAGGGCCTTTGGAGCAGTGCTGTTCAGTGTGGAGGACAGTTAAGTGCTGGACCACTCTGCCATAAAGAATAAGCTCGAGGGGCTTGAGACATTTCCATTTAAAAATGGATGCACTCATGTTTAAAGATCTCACTGTTTCTCTGGTGTGAGAAACCAAAAGTGCAAATAAAAACCAAAATGGGAAGAAGAACATGGCAGGAGGGGAAATGAAGGAAGGGACCAGAAAAGAAAGATAATGGGAAAAAAAGGAAACAAAGCTTCTGTAAATGAGGAGGGGAAGAGGGGTTGAAGGGAGGGAAAGGCAATGGGAAAAAAGTAGTAAGATATATCATGTACAGATACAAATTCCCTATGACGGGGGTGTGATCATTATGTGTAGCTAAATTTTTTTTCTTTTTAGTACCGGGAATCAAACTCAGGACCTCACACTTGCCAGGTAGGCACTGTACCACTAAGCTACACTGCCGGCCCATGTATATCTAAAATGTACCCAAAAAACCCCACAACCAAATAAGCCATATATATATATGGTACAGCAGGGGATGGCCAACTACTGACTGGGACAAGTCAAACCCCTACCTGGTCTTTTTTAATATACTGGGGATGGAACTCAGGACCTTGCACTGATGAGGCAGGCAGTGGAACCACTAAGCTAAATCCCCAGCCTCCCCATCTGTTTTTTGAAAGTAAAGTTTTACTGGGAAAAAAAATGGCATTATGGATTAAATAAAAAATTGGTGGAAGAGCTATGGTGGTACATTCCTGTAAGCCCAACTTTGGGAGACTGAGGCAGGATGACAACTGTGAGTTCAAGGTCAGCCTGGACTACACAGACCCTGTCTCAAAACAAAAACAGAAAAAAGAATAGATTTTAAACAATTAAAATAAAACTGTGGTACTAGAAATACTAAAAGGAACTGAGTGGCTCAGTTGTTCCTATTGAAGCAAAACTCTAAACTTCCAGCAGGGGGCAGCATTCAGTTAGCGATCACAGCCCTCCAAATCAGAAAAGGGGCCACCATTACCTGTACTAAAGGAGAATAACTGGACTCTAGGTATTTACTGATTACACACCTCTACAGGGATAAGACTCTCAAAGGAAATGGCAAGAGCAAGCCCTCCTAGGGTGAAGTAGAGGTTCTCTTTTGCTTCCCCAGGGCTCCTCCCTACAGCCCTGCCACCCAACAGGGCGGTCCTGATGGAGACTCTCAAAGCTAGCTGATGTACTGATGGTCAGCCTTCTTGTCTCAAAAGCTAGCCAATCTCTTTCAACTTCTGTGAACAATGAGGGGGATGCGTCACCTGGAAGTGTGTCTGCTCCTCCCCCGTTATTCCGTGGGAATCTGTATGTCAGTAAAGTGAGGACAGCAGCAGCGCCAAGCTCATGGAAGGCAGGCTTCCTGGTTCCTCTGGGCATGGCCCTGCACCCCTACCTTATCCAGGAGCTCTCGCGTCTCCTCAGTCAGAGGGTCGTGGGAGAACATACAGTCATCCCCATTGATGCAGTTCCCAGTGGTGTGGTACAGCTTACACGGAAAATCACGTTCACAACGAGTTAAGGCACATGCTTCACCTGACAGGTCCTACCCAGGCAGAACCCACCTCCTCCGTTCTGGAGATCAGCGTGAAGCCCAGAGGTGAGCTGACTTGCTCAGGTTGCGCACTGGGTCGGCGGCAGACCTGAGATGTGGCATGGCTCGCAAAACTCCTATTCCAGAACAACTTCTTCCCCACCAACATGGCCTTGGTGCTGTCCTCAGACCCTCAGCAGACTGGGGATGCTAAGAGACCTGCCCAAGGTCACAAACTCAGGCCACAGATAAGACAGCGCACGGCTCGTGCTCTGAGAGAACGTAAGTATGCAGGTGTGTCTCCGCACACTCATCTGAACAGCAGGAACAGCAGGCCCAGCGTGGGGCAGGGGTGAGTGAACAAAGTGGAGAGAACAAGAGCAGAAGATGCCAAGACCCCTGCTTCACCCACAGGAGCAGCAGCAGCTGCCAGCAAAGGATATCGTGCATGTAGGGGCAGTGCTCAGCTCGGGCGCAGAACCCCGTGATGTAGAACTTGCACAGCTCTCGCTTCTTTGGCAGTTCGATGTCATGGCTAAAATTACAGTGGTCTCCCTGGAAGAGGAGGACAGAAAAGGGTAAGATAAGACGGTGGTGCCACGAGCCCTTCATCAGACCTGCGTGCAAAGGGAAGCAGGGCCGTCACGGCTGGTGTGCAGGGGGGCTGAGGACAGAACTGACGCCCCCAGAAAGGGCAGCTCAGGAAAGGCAGGTTTCCCAACCTTGAAGCTTCTGCCCCAGCAGGGCCACCGCAGAGCCTGACTATGCGCCCTCCTCTTGGGCCTCCTCGTCCCCTAACAACCCCTCCTCCCTTCTCATGCCACTGTCTTGGCTGCTTCTTTCCAACTCTCTTCTCTGTCTCCTCTTCTTTCCCTCCTGCTCACTACTAGGTTTTTTACTGTTTGCTGTGTGGCAACCAGGGCTTGTCACCTACCTGCAATCCAGACCCACACTTCTTCCTTCCTAACAGAACCCTTATTTTGTCTGGGGAAGAATGTGCCTACGGGCCAGGGATTTGGCTCAGTGGTTCTGCTGCCTGCCTCACAAGCGCAAGGGCCTCAGTTTGATAACTGGTACCAGGAAAAAAAACAAAAAGAATGTGCCTAGCTAAAAATACCCCACTTCCCAGCTTCCTTTGCAGGACCAGGAAACAAGATGCAGGCAAAAGCTCACAAAGAAAATTCCTGAATAAAAAAATTCCTTCACCCATTTTTCTTCCTCCTAGCACTTGGATGTGATGTCCAGAGGCACTGCAGCCACTGTGCAAACACAAGGACCAAAGCCACATGCTTAATGACTGTAGAGGGTAGGAGGAGCCCAGGCACCCAAGGGCCACTGACCGCCACAATGCCTTGGGCTGCTCACTTGCCCAGTTCTTGCTCTGAGACCAAGGTCAATGTGCTGAAGCCAGTGGGGCTGAGTTTTCCTTTATGTGCAGTCGAACAATCCAAGCTACACAGCACACCTCGGTGAAATCATGGCTTGTGTTCCCCATTCCTCACAGGAATCACTTCCTATTTCTAAAGACAGAAGTTCCTCTCTATCTGCTTCCTTTTACCCTTTGGGACAGCCACTCCTTTTTCTTTGCTTATACATGTATTTCAAATCTCTAAAAAAGAATAAAAATTGTGACTGTAATACAGAACGCTTCACATACGTTGTATTCGTTTGATATACTATACCAACTTCTTCCCTAGGCAGATGCATGGGAGCAGCAGTCCCCGAGACAAACTCGGTTACTCGCTCAGCTACACTTGGTTCCTGCAGAACTCTGGTCACTGGTCCAGCTCCAGGCACTGAACTCTTCAAGTCTACAGCCAAGCTGACTCCACCCGACACTTCTGTCTGGATGAGCTAATGATTTCCTCTCAACCCTTCAAGTTCAGTAACTTAAGCATCAACTTGTAAATCCACTTGAAGCCATAAGGATTAGATGAAAAATTTGATTTAACAATAAAAAATTCTCTAAAACCAAAAATAATCTTCATGTTGTTTTGCTCTTGGTCCTCCTTACTCTGAGAATTGAACTGAGTCTCTTCCAGGTCTGCCCAGGCATCTCTCAGCACTGACAAGTTCCCCCGGGACCACAGATCTCCATACAGTCACTCCCACCTTCCCTAGAGTTGGGGTGACCCTGAACGTGCAATTCACGGAGGCCACTCGTCTTGAGGGTGGCTGCCCAGCTCCTTACCCATGTGCACCGCCCTTCCACGAAGTACTTGCAGATGACTTTGCCCTTCTTGTCAGACTGCTGGTGGGGCTTGTCATGGTCACTCCTCCGGTAGCTGCCCCCACCGCCATCCTGTAAGGAAGTGTGGTGTGGAGTGGAATGGAAAGGAAAGGAGGGGACAGGACCTGGACAAGTCAGTAACCGATGGGAAAGGGGGACGAGCACTTGTTAAGTGCACAACCAACACCGAAGCTGCATACAGCTGGGCCTGGGTGCCAAGTACTGGTGCTGGCACAAGAAAGGCGCTGGAGGTCCTGAGCTCTGCATACCTCACAGGAACACACCCACCTCCCAGAGGATGGACAGGCCACGGCCTTCCTGTGCGACTGTCCCAGGCTAACTGGCTGAGTTACTAAAAGCTGCTGAAGCACAGAGACTCACTAAGGCTGCATGTGCTGCTAATGATGGGAGCCCGAAAACACAAGAAGGTCCCACCAGGAGAGCAGTCCCCACAAGGGAAGATACACACCCATCAGCACCCTGGGGACAGGATAAACCTACAGAAAGGCTGTTTGAAGAAAACTGAAAACCAAAAACCAAAAAACCCCCAGTAATTCCCAGAAGGAGCCTCTGCCAAAATCACCAGATCAGAAATAGGAGTCTACTCACGCCCATGTCATCATCATAGAAGTCTTCGTCATCGTTCATTCCACCCTTGTTCATCCCTCCTCGGCTGCCACCTCGGCCACGGCCCCGGCCCATCCCTTTCCCTCGGCCCCGGGAACCCCGGCCACGGCCTCGACTTAACCCTGCACAGGGGAGAGAGGGCGTCAGCCTGCCAACCATTGCTGGGTCCCAACCACAGCACACCAGCTCCCAGCCCTGCGCACCTCGGCCTCGGCCATCCTTGGACCTGCGGTACTGGTTCAGCTCCTTGGAGTATTCATCGTAGTCATCGTCTCCCATTGGCTCCTCGCCTTCTCCATACTGGAATCCCGGAGAGAAGGAGAGGGCAGGAAAGCGTTATGGAGGACGCGACGAACACTGCCCATAACTGTGTGCTCTGCCCTCCTGGAGGCAGGGGACCAACTCTAGGGGCTAAATGGGATGCCTGAATGGCACACAGTGGCCAGCTCATCACGCCCTGGCACGGAAAGAGTAGAGGTCAGCACCTGCACGCATCCTTCTTGGGGCAGGAGGAACACACAGGTGCCTGACTGGTAAGGCATGGAACTCTAGGGGGTATTCCGGAACTTGTCTCCAAGGGAGGGACTTTTTCACAGCCTATCATTCAGTACCTTTTCTATATCATACCATGTAGAGATTTTGTATGTTCCAAAATAATTTATGCACAGGAACCCGCTGTCCAAGGCCTCCTTTCCTTCAGCCTTCCCTCCCACGGTGTTCGCAGCCCAGACTGCACACCCACTGCACTACAGTCTCCCAGGGGCTGCAGGAAACCTTACCTCCATCTCCTCCTCGTAGAAATCCTCCTCGTCCTCTGGGTGGTCTCCTCCCACGGAGCCTCGGCCTCGGCCTCGGCTGCCCCTGCCGACACCTCGGCCTCGAGATCCTCCTCGGCTTCCTCGGCCTCTATAACCCCTGCCCCGGCCTCGGCTGCCTGCCAAGGATTTGTTCGGTGACCTCATGGGGAGCAACCCCACCAGTGATATACAGGCAGCCCTCCCGCAGCCCCACAGCAATCACCGCCTCCTCTGCCCCTCAGCGAGCCTTGTCCCCTGCCCCTCAGCGTTCTGGACAGCCGCTGCTCTGCTTCAAGGTGCCTGCCCCTGAGGGCTGAGGTGCCCAACAGCAGCTAGCAGCCACATGCCTAAGGAGCACCTGACTCGTGGCTACTCCAACCTAAGCAATGTATGAAAGGCACACCAGATTTCAAAGACTTGTGAAAAAAGAATATAAATTATTTCACTTGTCTATTTGATTTCTTGTGCCAGCCATGGTGGCACACACCTGTGATCCCAGCACTCAAGAAGAAGAGGCAGGAGGATTGCTGTAAGTTCGAGGCTAACCTGGGATACATACTGAATTCAAGGCCAGCCTGAACTACACAGCAAAACCCTGTCTCCAAAAAAAAAAAAGTTTATTTTTGTTTGGTTTGTTTCGCTTTTGGTATTGAGGATCACACTCAGGACCTTGCACTTTCGAGGCAGGTGGCAGAACCACTGAGTTAAATCCCTGGCCCCAAAAAGCGGTTTATTTTGATTTCACACTGAAATAAGATTTGGAATGTATCAGTTAAAAAAACCAGTTGTTAAAACTTATTTACTTTTTCCTCTCACTTTCTCAATGGGGCTCCGAACATGTAAAATGACATGGTGGCTAATGTCTCACTCCACCTGACAGTACTGACCTAGGGTCTCCCCAAAACACAGGGCATACTCAAAAGGTGTCTAAGGAAAGACAAATACGCTGCCACTAACAATAATCAGGGGTCGCAAGTCTGAGTAAACTCTGATTCCAGCTGGTAATCCCAGCACTTGGGAGGCTGAGGCAGGAGGATCACTGAGAGTTTGAGGCCAGCCCTGTCTACGTAGGGAGACCCTATCTCAAAAGACAAAAACAAAAGGACCCCGGGCAAGCTGTCTTTCTGAAAGGAGACAGTTCCAAGAAACCAGACTGGGTTGCAGTCTCTGCTGCTTAGCCCTCACCCACCCTGCTCCCAAGGCTGCAGGCCACAGGTTCAAGGTTCAGAGGTGTGGCAGTGGCTTGGGCTACACCCATACCTGGTCAGGTGATGCGAGCCAAGGAGGAGGAAAGGAGTGGACAGTTGATACACTTTAAAAATCCACGCTTCAGCCAGCCTGGACTTTTCCCCTGCCTCCCACCAGCCTGGCCAGGAATATTCTTCCCGACACCCTTGGGTGGCTCACTCCAGCCTTTCTCTTTGCACACTTCCGCCCTTCTCGTGCCTCCTAAATGACCATCTGTGTCTCCATCCAGTCCTGGGAGGCACTGCCTGCCTCTGCCTGGCCTTGCCCTGGAAGAGATGCTGCTGGGTGCTCACCTCGGCTTCGGCTGCTGCCCTCCTTGGAGCGGCGGTACTGGTTCAGCTCTTTGGTGAAGTCATCGTAGTCATCCTTGCCGATGTCCTCCTCCTCGTCCCCCTCGTACTCTCCGTACTGCTCGTTCTCATAGTCTTCGTACATGCTGTAGCCCTTGCTGTCCATCTTGGAGTAGGACTTCTTGGGCAGGGACGTGCTATGTGATGGGGGGTACTGCTGGTGGGACTGGGAGAGTGGAGGGGGACACGAGCTGGCACTGTGGCCTGGCTCTCCCCTGAAAGGCTGGAACAGCAATGTGTTGGCCCTTCACAAAGGAGAGCCACTCAAAAGGAAGCAGAAACAGGTCCTGCAATCCCCAATGAACTAAGGGCGAGAGACGGTGTTTCGCAGCAATGCAGGGCAACCACATTTGGGAGGGCCTGTAGGCAGGAGGTTCTCTGCACTCAAAATCACTCTAGCACCTTGGAAGTCAACCACTGTCCTGCTTGGCAACCACACTGAAGAGCAGTTTCAGAAGATGCTCTCCACAGTGTGCTCCTGCCAAGCGGTACTGGAGAAGAGGAAAACGCATATACACAGAAGGAGCAAGATGTCTTTTAATGAGAAAATGGACAGATCTGGAGGTGTGGCTCAGTAGTACAGGACTTGCCTAGCATGTGTCAGGACCTGGGTTCGATCCTTAGCACCCCCAAACAAAGTAAGTGGACAGAGTAACTGTCATACGCTCAGACAACAAGGCAAAGAAATGAACTATACAGCAATGAAAAAACACAGAGAAACCCTAAACACATGTTGCTGAGGCAGGGTGCTATGGTGTATGCTTGTAGTCCCAGCTACTGGGGAGGCTAAGGCAGGAGAATCACTTGTGCCTAGGAATTCAAGGCCAGCCTGGGCACCACTGCGACCTCCATCTCAAAAAAACAAAAGAATATAGGGCTGGGGGTTTAGCTCAGTGGTGCTGTACCTGCTTCAAAAGCATAAGGTCCTGAGTTTGATCCCCAGTACAAAAAATGTATATACTGCTAAGGGAAAGAAGACAATTTTAAAATACTACAGATTGTCATATTTCAACTATGACATTCCACAAAAGGCAAAACTGTGAAAGATCAATGGTTGGCAGGGAGAAGGAGGCAAGGAGGAACAGGAGGAGCACAGACAGTGAACTACTATGTGACCCTAGAACAAAACCCAAAGCTCCAGAACTGTAACCTAAGTGACAGACACCAATGGACACTACTGTATTCATACACGGTGGGTTCCGCATTATAACCACGCACCGTGCTAGCCCAGGAGATTACGATGGCTGGGTAACTGTGGTGTGAGGTGGATAACCATATTGTTCAGTTCCCCTTTTGTTGTTGTTTTTTTTTGAGATACTGTCTCGCTGTGTAGTTGAGGCTGTCTTAAACTCACTACGTAGACCAGGCTGGCCTCAAACCTGCTGTGATCCTCTTGCTTCAGCCTCTTCATCATACCTGGCTAGTGGATTTCTTATGTGTTTTTTGGGAGGGGGCGGGGGAGTGTACACAAACCAAACAATGTAAACATATGCTTAAACAGAGATGGAATGGAATGGAATACTTAATCTCTGACTATAAAACCTTTTAAAAAATTATTAATTTATTCCTGATCATTTCCTTCTCTTGCCATAAAGTCACTTACAGACAGCAGAAAGCATTCAGCTGTGACCTAGACTAGTGAGACATTCTGAGTTCTGCCAAGGCTATGGAGCAGACACAGCCCAGAGAAGGCTCGAGAGCAAGCCTTACAGACATCTGTAAGGGTTCAAATCCTAGCTCTTCCACTTAAGAGCTGGCAACCCTGTTGAAATTTTCTAAACCCCAGTTTCCTTACCTACAATACCTAATACTGCAGGGTGAAAATCTATGTAAAGCTCATGTAAGAAATCCCAAATGTGGGAAGAACTCTGTAGATACTGGCCCTGTGGTACTCCTGGCCTGCTGGCTATCAGGGTCCAAAGCAGTCACTCACCGGTGCATACGGGGGGCTGTACTCCCGGTACTTGCGGTGCCCCTTCTCACTAGGGCTGAAATCCGAGTCATCCGAGAAGTCGGAGAAGTCGTCGCTGGAAGAAGCATGGCGCTGCAGTGACAGGGGAGGTGGTAAGTGTTTGCTGCAGGCGGCCACCCTGCAAGTCAGCCCCAGAACAAGTAATGCTGGACTACATTCGAGGACGCAGTGTTCCACCTGAAATGCCTCACCTGGGGGCACTCAGTGGCAGCGGAGCGTAAACTGCCAGCTCCTTAAGAGTCTTTATCCACACAAGGGCAGGTAAAACAGTATTAAGAGTGCCCTTCGGGCGGACCAGGCAGGCCCCATGCCAGCAGTGCAGCAATGAGGACCTTGCTGGACCTACTTTGTGTTTGGATTTCCTCCTCTTCTTTGACCTCCTCTTCTCCTTCTCCCGCTCTTTTTTCCGTTTCCGCTTCAACCTCCTGTGAGACTTCTCCTCGTCTGAGTCACTATGGTGCTTCTCCCCCTTTTCTTTCCGGCTTCTCTCTTGCCCTCCTGGAGTGTCCTGGGTCTCCTCCGCCCCATCATCTTCCAGTTCACCTTCTTCCAACTCACCATCTTCCCTAAAAGCAACCCCAAAGCCAGTATGAATGGGGGCGGTCTCAACAGCAGAGCCCAAGGGCTCAGGGTGAGGACGCCCACAGGAGTGGAGGCAAAAGTTAGGATCTTGAGGACAGGCTGCAGGAGGACATGAGGACAACCCCGAATCCTACCCTCAAAAGCACTGTGCCTAGTCTAACCAACTAGGATGGGTAGAGGTACAAAAACCACTAAGATGTAAAGGCAGGGGCTGCAGCTTAGTCCAGTGATAGAGCATTTGCCTAGCATGCAAAGCCATGGGCTCAATTCCCAGCACCATGAAAAATAAAAAAATACAGGGACAATACCAGCAAGGTTGTGGACAAACCCATGCTAGGATTTCCTGAGTGTTCCATGAGGCCAGCCTTCTCAGAAGATGGTAGCCAAGTTCCGTAGTCACATGAGTGGAGGACAGGAGAGCCCCACGTGGGGCTGCCAGGTGCCTCACAGAACCTCTCCATCCAGCACCCACTCAACTCACACTAGAGCACCTCTGAAACCCACTCGACTACAGAAGTGCCTAGCCAGGGATCCAGGACTGGCACCCCTCCCGCAGCACAGCAATCTGGCAGCTGGAGGTTGTGGCCCCAGGAGATGCTCAGTGAGGGCTCAGATGGTGACCCTGGACAGTGGTGGGAAGGACTTGGGTCTGAACCGGGGGTGACATACGGCTTCCTCTGCTCCTCAGAGATGGGCCTGGGGCACCAAAAGACTCCACAGTGGTCCCATAACAGCCACTGGTGAAGATGACCTGGGGCCTGGGCTTTCAGGTCTGATCTACCTATCAGTCCCTACCTGGGATCGGGACACAGATGGACAGCGACGCCAAGCAACTAACTAGAAGGGAACTCTCCAAGGCTGAAGCTGGGCCCCTTCTAAGCTGACGCTGCTTTCCCCTTCCCTTCTGACTTGCTTCACCTCCAGGAACCCCTTGTGGCTCCTATTTTCCTTCGCCACCTTGCCCATGTCACCCAATGCCAATACTTTAAAAAGTAAAAGTGCTCTCCAAGCATGACAGACACTACCAGCAGCACGCTGTGGGCATGAGGAGGGGGTTTGGAAGTGATCAGGGAGGACAGCAGATATGAAAGAAATCCAGCGTTTAAGCCAAACCCACAGACACAGTTCTCACAAGTACAGAAGATGGTGTGTGTGGCGGGGGGTTTAAATTTTAAAAGCTCCAAAAGTTCCGCATGAATGTCTATAGCAAGCTTTGTGTGTGAGCATAAAAATTTCGTCCATCTCTGTTAACTAGGACACAAAAAGAGACAAAAGATAATCTCAAAAGTAATGAGGCTGCCGGGCGTGGTGGCGCACACCTGTAATCCCAGCACTTGGGAGGCTGAGGCAGGAGGATCACTGTGAGTTCGAGACCAGCCTGGGTTACAGAGTGAGTTCCAGGTCAGCCTCAACTACATAGTGAGACCCTGTCTCAAAAACAAAAACAAAACAAAACAAAAAAAAGTAATGAAGCTGGGCCCAGGGATGCATGCCTGTAATCCCAGCTATGAAGACAGCTGAGGTAGGAGGACTGCAAATTCAATCAGCCGGGGCAATTTAGTCAGACCCCATCTCAAAAAAGGGAGGGTACATACAGCTCAAAAGCAGAGTACCTGCCCAGCATGTAGGACACTCTGGGCTCAATCCTCACTACCACAAAAAATAAAAAGTAACAAAACAAGCCCAAAGCAGAAGAGGCCTTGGCTAGGACCAGAACAGCTAGGCAGAAGCCCTTTAGGCAAACCAGACCAGGAGCCCCAAAGGTCTAGGGGATTTGTGAGGAGAACAAACCACCACTTCCCGAGGACCCTCCATGGCCCTTTCACTCACATTACTCCTTTGTCCACCTTGGAACTGCGCCCCAAACACCAAGGAGCCCCTCAAGAAGAGCTTTTCTATTAATCTCATGCCCAACCCAAAGAGGAAGGGTCTGACTTAAATCCCAAATAGCCCCGCCTCACAGATCCCCCAAAACAGAGTGCAGCACCCACAGAATTCAGGACACAAAGCTCTTTCTGCCATTTCAAGGGAAAGGACAGGAGTGGTGACAATATGCACCTCCTGTTGTTTCTTCCTAAACTCCAGGCTGTCTGGGACCCTACATGGAGACACCCAGAAACCTCTGGACAGGAAGGGTGGCATTCCTGACAAGTGAGGCACCTTCCAGCCAGGCAGGAGCCACAAAACCAGCAGGATAGCCTCACCTACTTTTTAAGAGCACCACCTCACTGGGAACTGGTTTGGCCCCCAGGGAGCTGTTACTCAGTGATTCAGCAAACTTCCTGCTGTGTATTTATTCACTGGAGGTGGTGACTGGAGTGTCCCCAAGGGAATACTGTGCCCAGACCAGGGCCACACCCTAGAGAAACAAGGGGACAAACAGGAGGAGAGGCAGACAGGGCCCAGAGTCAGTCTGGAGAGGTACAGGCTGAAATTCATGAGGAAAAACTGAACAGAGAAGTGCCATCCACACTGTATTCTGCAAGGGGAAAAACTGAAGAGGTCATGAACACCACTCAGGCTGCAAGTATTTCTGGGTCCCTACACAGTACCAGCTAACGAATTACCTGCCTTTTGCATTTTCCTTACAGGAAACTGATACAAGGACATGAAATTCAGTTTAAAAGGCGGCCTCCATGACATGGATGGGTCAGCTAAGCCAGAGCTGGATAGCAGCCCTAGTGACCCCACACAACAGGGCACAGCAAGAGAAGGTCTTGTCCAGGGTCACCTGAGGTATCCTCACAGTCCCCCTGCCACAGCTGGCCCTGACTAATGACCGGGCTGCTCTAATTTAACACGGGGACGTTAGAGACACTACAACAAAAGACCACCGAGGGAACTCAAGAGACCTTAACCATCATCCAGAGTGATTCTGGAAGAAATCCTTTTCATTCTAAAGAATTTTTACAAAGGTAGCAAGTACAGCAATCAGATCCACCTACAGAATTCAGCCAAAGAGGAGGAATTCTCTGCACTATCTCTACCAACAGCCCCAGGCACATCTGGGCTCAGTGAGATTCTCTGCACACCTTTCTTACAGAATGGGCAGTGAAAATCTAAAACTTTCCCCTTAAAGCAGTTGAAAAACAGGAATTTCACAAAGATTACTGATGATTCATAAAGAAGCACCAAACTGGTGATGATGCTGGTTGGCTGGGTATTCCCAGAGCCCTCCAGCCCTGTCCTGCCCTCACACTCCTATAGCCCCAGGCTGACTCTGCCAATGATCACATGGGCCATGCTCTTCCAGCTAAAAGGCCTGCGAGAATATTAGGTCTGACGACTTCCTTCAGACTCTGCTCAACAGAAAGAGAAAAGAAAAGAAATCAAGCCCATTGGGAGAGCGGGTAAAATCCTGAGGGCCATTCATACAACCGCACAAAGCAGTCTAAAAAAATGGCAACCAGGTTTAAGCAGTGCCACTTAATAGGCTGCCAGCAAAATCCATGTCAGAGTGGGATTAAATACCGAGGGAGCACACTTAATAGACTGTGACATAATCCCCCAAGCAAAGTGGGGGAAGCCCCACCGCGCTAATCATTTCAACCTAGACCTGCCAAACCCTCTTGAGATCAGCCTGCAGGAGCAAATCCTACAGGGCCAGCCTGTGGAGGCCACTTTATTCCCAGAGTCTAGACCGACAACGCCTCCCTATCCCGCAGCCGGGTCAGTGCAGGAGACAGACCACCAGCCACACTGCACCACACTTTGGAAATGGCCCCCAGGAAGAAATGGGGAGAAGACCACACCTGCCCAGAGGCAGACTGCTGGCCTGAACCTCCAGGACAAAGCTTCCTGGGTATTCAAGTTTCCATTTTCAAAGTTGGCTGCTCTTCCTCTTGGGTCAAAAAATAGATCTGGACTCCTGGCCTAAGTAACACCTACTGGGCCAACTCTACGGGGCGCATAAGTGTGCAGGGTTCATCACATACCATGGGCTTGGCAAAAACAGTACTGTACTTGGTAGAGACCTGCTACACCAAGCAGTCTGGTGGCTTGGGCACCATGTTCTGCCTGCAGACCAAGCAACTCAACCAGCTCTGTCTCTTCCCTAGCAGGCACTCTTGCTCTATAAGACCAGCCTTGGTGCTTGCAACTGTGGAATGGGTAACACATTAGTACCTACCTCGAGGAGCATTAGGGTCAAATGAGACAAAAGGATGAAGCCCCTGACGTGGGAGGCAAGCACACAATGAGTAGCAGATAAACAGAAGCTACAGGTTTGAAGAACCAGCTAGCATGAGCATACCTGTATGTATACAACCCTAGACTGGCTTACACCCACCATGAAGCAAGATCTCCACAGGGAAGGGACAGGCACCTGTTCCTGGGAGACTGATGGCTATCACCCTCTCCCAACCAACGTAGCTGGTAAAACTGACAAAATCAGTATCTCCCCTCCCTCAGCTTTCATCTGTGTTATGCTAGAAAGCAACCAGGTGGCTGACCAATAGGAAGAGAGACAGGCAGAGCCAAGAACCAGGAAGAAGGAACAAAAAGCCCTTGGGAGAATGGCAACTGTCTAGATAAGAGAGCCAGACAGCCAAGCATGCTGATGCAGGCTTGCAATGCCAGTACTTGGGAGGCTGAGGCTCGAGGATCACTGCAAGTTCAAGGCTAGTTGTCTGGAACACATAGTGAGTTCAAGGCCAGACTACACTACATAGTAAGACTGTCTTTAAAAAAAAAAAAAAAAAAAAAAAAAAGAGTTGAACAAAGTTGAAAGGAGCCAGGGACTTATGGCTCCACCTGGTTTATGAGGGGAAAAAGAAGAGGCAAAGCCCAAAAAGATGGAAACTCATGGGAACAGTGGCTATTACCTGAAGCTCATGAGGCAGCTAGATTAATGTGAAGGTCAGGGTTATGATCCTTAATTGCCCAGGCTCTCAGCAAATTGCCTGGGTAGGCTCTGAATGACCCATTAACTAGGGACAAAATTACGAAAATTACAAGGAGGCCCAACCTCTTCAAATCTTTAACC